ACACACACACACACACACGCACACACCCCCACAGACACACACACACAGACACACACACACACACACGCACACACAGACACAGACACACACACACACAGACACACACACACACAGACACACACACACAGACACATACACACACACACGCACACACCCCCACAGACACACACACACATACACACACACACACACAGACACACACACACACAGACACATACACACACACACGCACACACGCACACACAGACACACACACACAGACACACACAGACACATACACACACACACAGACACACACACACACAGACACACACAGACACATACACACACACACACAGACACACACACACACAGACACATACACACACACACACACACACGCACACACAGACACAGACACACACACACAGACACACACACACAGACACACACACACACAGACACATACACACACACGCACACACGCACACACAGACACACACACACACACACACACACACACACAGACACACCCACACACAGACACATACACACACACACGCACACACCCACACACAGACACACACACACACACAGACACACACACACACAGACACACACAGACACATACACACATACACACACACACGCACACACATGAAGACACACACAACAGGAGAGAGAGATGGACACACGTAGACAATGACAGAAAAGATGACAAACATGAAATGTAATCTGAGTGTCATCAGTGTGTAAAGGGTCCCTGTGATCTGTTTTCTGGTCATCACATTAATTGCTGTATGTCATACTCAGCAGAGTGTTTAACACCATCACACACACATGCATGCAGATGCTGTGAGTCATTTCTTCCCACTGCTGCTGCCTGCTTGCTGAGGAAGAAACTATATTGTATTACATTGTTTTGTATTGTACTCTAACATATGTACATGAATTTGAATCTGTAAAATCAGATATCATAATGGTAGGAGATGTTGATTTCTGAAATAATAGCTCCTAAGACAATTGTAACTTTCTAAACTGTGTATTAAATATGAACACAAATGTTCTGATCTTCTCATTCTGCTCTTCCCTGTTAATTACATGAAATAAAGGAGCTTTTGTTAGAGACCTGAACAGGAACAAGTTGGATAAAAGTTCTCAAGAGTTGAAAAAAACCTTGCCAGGGTAGGAAACCTTTAGTTTTCAGTCCTGCTCCATTCACTAATGTTCAGAGTTGGGCTCTACTAGATTAATATTAAGTTTTACTAGTAAACATTTCTAACTAGAGCAACTTAAATTTCCAACACTGTTTAAATAACCCAGGTCTAGAATAACACTTATTTCTTTCTGTGCTACATTGGAGTGGACAAAGCGCGCCGGCAGAGGAAAGCTGCCCAGAGGTGAAGGATCCAAAAATACATGTTACTTATTGTGCATCCAGAATCTAATCACAGGTTGATCCTGCTTTTATTCACAATTCTGCAAAAAAAACCTTGGAATTACAGGTTCCCCAAAATTGCTGCTGGCAACCCAAAACTGGTTACTAGCCTCTCTGAGGGAGAAGATGAAACAACCTATTGAAGTCCAGAGTTGAGAGTCACAGCTTCACCGAGTATGTGACAGTCAGACAGGAGCGAAGAGGATCCCTCAGCTGTACCTGCTAGTACAGGTTCAAGCTGACCTGTACGAGCAATGCATAGCTACTGCTAATCATTCTGATTATTTTGAGAAACTGAGCTGAGAAACAACACTTGACCATTCTGGACACTCATGCCAGCCTGATGTGGAGCTACAAACGTCACATTGCGAGTCTTCTTGCTCTACAACACACTGCGAGCTGTTAGCCAAGCAGCTAGCTGTCTCCCGGCTTCTGGCAAAGACGCAGCCAGGTGAATGATTCAGCCCACCTTGTTCATCGGAACTCTATTCACAGTCGGTTGTTTCTGGGCAGAAATAATATCTTAGGAAGACCAAGATAAGTGTTTTTACTCTCTATTTTTGTTGTGTTTTTCCATTAAAAACTTAAAAGTGTTCCAGAAACAAAAATGACCTGAGAGCTTGGAACATCTAAAGAATTTGGATTGTTCAAACTTCTTTCCAATGAGTGTTTTAAATGTAAGGTGAATTTCTCTTTAATGGTTAATTTTGTCCTCTTATTTGGCCACTCTGTTACATAAAATAGTTCTAAAAATGTTCTAAGATGTCCCACTTTCTTAAATCTAATGGCAGCTAAGCTAAATGTGGCTGACGACTACTATAGCATCAGCAGCATAGCTTAATGCTGCTGATGTAGGCAGTGAACCATTGACACTCATAGACAATCAATATTGTTTTTCATAGTTCTTAAGAGATTGTTTATTAAGAAAAACATTAGAGTCTTTGTCTTGCCTGATGCTGCTTTTGAGCTATTCTAAATTATTAGATAATTGCTAAGCAATAATTTAGAAAGAACTACTTTGCTTTTTTTTCTTTATCATCAAGTTGTGCCCCAATTTAGTAATTTGAATCTAAATAACTAACAACAAAGATATAGAAGCAGGTTATTTCATTGAAAGTAAGCATGTCAGATTGTACATTTAACCCCCAATCTGACATGACTTGACCCCACAATGGCTCCAGAAAACTGGAAAGATTAATGTTGCCACAGAGATAGAACGTGATGATGTTGTTTCCAGGTGGTTGATGAATCGGTGCTGTTGGTTTGTCACAGCATGGCCTTTGACCGTTCTCTGCCCCAACTTTATTAGTCAGCTAAATCCCAGATTAGCACAACAAAATTCTCTGACACCTGTTAACTGTCTCGTGTTCTGGTGTTGTGTATCACAAGTCATGTCAGATTTTTTTCTGCTACTCAGAAAGGATGAGTCAACAAGACAAAATATGGAGAAAATCTGACTGAGCTTCAAAGTTTTTCAAACTTTGCCAACTTGACTATTGGATTTCAAATAGATTTGGCAATGTTTCATTCCTATAAGGAATGCTACATATGCTAAAAGGCAACACAGATAGTATATATTGCTAAGAATGTGATGCAAGCATTCTCCTAAAACAAATACTTAAAGTTAGAAATGAGAGCAGCAGAATTCTGAAGGCATCCTCCTAAAAAAGACATTTGATGGCGAGAGTTCCTAGAAATCTGTCTCTTATTTTTCATACTGCACAAGGGGAATATTGTACTGAAGTTGTGGAATTTAATACCTTAATAAACTTGAAATTTTAGCTCTTAAAAAAGTGAAAGAAGTAAAAGAAAGGACTAGAAACTATTTCCTGGAATACTTAGCAGCATGTTTTTGTATCCTGAGTGTTACATTGATGAGACTCTAGGGCGTTATTAAGGTAAATGTTTATTTCAATGCGACTGATAAAGCTTGTGGATAATGTCCTGTTCACACCAAATGTTTTTGAGCAGAATTTATTGTGCTGTTTAATAAAATTTACTATCAGATCAGAAATTTTGTTCATGCAGTTTGAAACAAGAATATAGATTATTCTAAATGTTAAATTGGTTATTATAAGGTAAAATAGTTATTTTATCTTGATATTGTGAGTGAAAATAACAGAAATGTGGCTCTTTAAGTAAACGAGGACAGTTTTTTCTTGCATGTTGGAAAATAATTATTTGGTTTAAATTGCAGCATTCAGTTAAAACTCACAATTCAAGATTAAAGAATTTAAAATAAAAAAAAAAAAAACATTTTTAATACACTTGTTCCTTCTTGCAAAATCACCTTCATTTAAGTTCTGAGTGAGAAACCAGTACAATTTTCATGGTGACTTTAATTGAATTTTCAGGGCAGCAGGTGGGTTTATAGATTATGACTTAAAGTTTGGAAGTTAATACATGTGCATTCATCTTTATTCAGAAATCCAGGAGGTGAAAGTGTGATTAATTTATGCAGAAAATATCATATCAGATATGCCAATTGTAAGTGTGGACAAAATTAGGTGCAGCAGAGAAAATGAAACATACAATATTTAAAATCAATCTATATACAAGAATATTTAATACTTCCATAAATGATGTTTAGCAGGGTAGAATACAGCTCTGGAAAACATTAAGAGACAACTTACTTTTTATTGGTATATGTTTGAATAAAATGAACATTGTTCTTTTACTCTATAAACATGTCTCTGAGGTTCCAAGTGAAAATTTTGTATTTATTTTCAGAAAATGAGAAATGGTTGAAATAACCAGATGCAGTGCTTTCAGACTTCAAATAAGTTCATATTCGTTCAGAAACAACAAAACGAATGTTTGAATTCAGGAAGAGTTCAGAAATCAATATTTGGTGGAATAACTAGGAGGGTTTCAATGGGGTTCAGTGCAGTGGACTCTTCATTTTTTAAGATATTTTTTCCCAGATATATTGTACCTTATTTTTTTCCAGAGTTATAACTTTGTTGTTTCTGTCGTGTTTGTAAGGTTAACTCCATTCATCCTCAGAAAAACGAAATTGGATGAAATTGTAGTAGTAAGAGCTGAGGGGTGGGTTGCAGGAGAACGACCTCCAAGAGAGCGCAGGGTTCATCTGAACAAAAATATGCGCTGTTGTTTTTTTGTTTGTTTTGTTGTCATGTAGTGTTTACATTCTCCGTGGACGTGTTTCCAATATGAACTCAAGCTTCTCCGAGTTTGGACCATTGGTTGAGAAATAACTCATTGAGTTAATTTTATTGTATTTGTTCTCATATGACTGTTTCCAAAAATAAAATGATCACATTCTACTTTTACAACTAGTATTACTATTAATAATAACAATGATTACATTCTAAAACGATGCGTTTGTTTTATCAAAAGTGTTTCATTTTCACAAGATTTACAATCTAGTTTCTTGAGGAACTTATTTCCCACAAAGCAGACATTAAAATGATTCTTTTTATAATTAGCTTAAATTTACAGTACAAGAAATATTGGTACAAATATTTATCCTGTGATTTTTCAAAGCATTCTACAATCACAATGGATTTTATTGAGAATTTATGTAACAAACCAACCCAATACTAATTTGATTTACCTTCAACTTTACAATGGAATTACAATAAGAATAATTTTCACAATCCTCTCGCTTAATTCTTGCTCTAATAAGCTGCACGTTGTTGGTGAAATACGTGACGGATTGTCTTGTAAAATGATGCAACATTAATGAAAACACAAGATCAATCAGAAGAAAAACGACAAAAAAAGTGCAAAAGGAGCCAGAAATCCGCAGCCCGAACAACACGGAGACAGAAACAGCGCAAATGTTCATACAGGAAACATCTCTGCAGGATTTTTTAAAATCTCCTCTTGGGTTAATTGTAGGACTGCGCTAATTACCGTGAAGCTGTAAACCCCTCCTGCTGGCAGCAGATTGGTCAGGTCCGGACGGACCCCAGTGCCCTGACCCTGCCCGCTGCGGCGGGGCCATGTATAAAACTCGGGGGCCCCAGGCCGACAGCTGCTATGATATCAGGAATCAAACATCACTTCTTCTTCTTCTTGTTCTCCTTTCTTCTTCGCCGTTGCCTGAACATTTGACATCGACTGAAAACGAGCTGTTGGTTTCAGCTCTGCTCTGGGTTGGACTCACTCATGGAGCTGTCGGATATTTCCTTCTCCCTTCCCTCTGCTGATGACTTCTATGATGACCCCTGCTTTAACACCACTGACATGCACTTCTTCGAGGACCTGGATCCGCGGCTGATGCATGTGGTCCCGCTGAAACCCGAGGACTCCTGCTCCCCCTCCTCTTCTTCCTTGTCTTCATCATCGTCCTCACCGTGCTCCCACCTGCACCACGAGCTCCAGCACCCGGAGGCAGAGGACGACGAGCACGTCCGCGCCCCCAGCGGGCACCACCAGGCGGGCCGGTGCCTCTTGTGGGCCTGCAAGGCTTGCAAGCGGAAGACCACCAACGCGGATAGGCGGAAGGCGGCAACGATGCGTGAACGCCGGAGGCTCAGCAAAGTGAACGAGGCCTTCGAGACACTGAAGCGCTGCACGACGGCCAACCCCAACCAGAGGCTTCCCAAGGTGGAGATTCTGAGGAACGCCATCAGTTACATCGAGTCTCTGCAGGCGCTGCTGCGCGGCGGCCAGCAGGAGGGCTTCTACCCAGTGCTGGAGCATTACAGCGGGGACTCGGACGTGTCCAGTCCTTGCTCCAACTGCTCCGATGGGATGGTGAGTCCAGGAACGCGCGGCGCGCTTTTACGCACCGACGTTCTTTAGCATTGCTGACTTGATTCCGTCTTAGTCTTGTTGTACTTTCCTTCCTATAAAACTATTTTATTTTCAACGAACACCATGAGATGATTGGTAGAACATGTTATTTTTTAGTTTTTACTGAAAATGCCAAAAGGGCATTTGACATTTTAAATGCTCGTTAATCTGCTTTCACCTGCACTCACCTGCTTTCACCTGCATTCACCTGCTTTCACCTGCATTCACCTGCTTTCACCTGCATTCACCTGCTTTCACCTGTTTTCACCTGCATTCACCTGCATTCACCTGCTTTCACCTGCATTCACCTGCTTTCACCTGCTTTCACCTGCATTCGCTTGCATTCACCTGCATTCACCTGCATTCACCTGCATTCACCTGTATTCGCTAGCATTCACCTGCTTTCACCTGCATTCGCTTGCATTCACCTGCATTCACCTGCTTTCACCTGCATTCACCTGCTTTCACCTGCTTTCACCTGCATTCACCTGCATTCACCTGCTTTCACCTGCATTCACCTGCTTTCACCTGCTTTCACCTGTATTCGCTTGCATTCACCTGCATTCACCTGCATTCACCTGCATTCACCTGTATTCGCTAGCATTCACCTGCTTTCAGCTGCATTGACCTGCTTTCACCTGCATTCACCTGCATTCACCTGCATTCACCTGTATTCGCTAGCATTCACCTGCTTTCACCTGCATTCACCTGCATTCACCTGTATTCGCTAGCATTCACCTGCTTTCAGCTGCATTGACCTGCTTTCACCTGCTTTCACCTGTTTTCACCTGCATTCACCTGCATTCACCTGCTTTCACCTGCTTTCACCTGTATTCGCTTGCATTCACCTGCATTCATGTGCATTCACCTGCATTCACCTGCTTTCACCTGCATTCACCTGCTTTCACCTGCATTCACCTGCATTCACCTGTATTCGCTAGCATTCACCTGCTTTCAGCTGCATTGACCTGCTTTCACCTGCATTCACCTGTTTTCACCTGCATTCACCTGCTTTCACCTGCATTCACCTGCTTTCACCTGCATTCACCTGCATTCACCTGCATTCACCTGCATTCACCTGCATTCACTTGCTTTCACCTGCATTCACCTGCTTTCACCTGCTTTCAGCTGCATTCACCTGCTTTCACCTGCACTCACCTGCTTTCACCTGCATTCGCTTGCATTCACCTGTATTCACCTGCATTCACCTGTATTCACCTGCATTCACCTGCTTTCACCTGCATTCACCTGCATTCGCTTGCATTCACCTGTATTCACCTGCATTCACCTGCTTTCACCTGCATTCACCTGCATTCACCTGCTTTCACCTGCATTCACCTGCTTTCACCTGCATTCACCTGCATTCACCTGCATTCACCTGCATTCACCTGCTTTCATCTGTATTCGCTTGCATTCACCTGCATTCACCTGTATTCGCTAGCATTCACCTGCTTTCACCTGCATTCGCTTGCATTCACCTGTTTTCACCTGCATTCACCTGCTTTCACCTGTTTTCACCTGCATTCACCAGCATTCACCTGCATTCACCTGCATTCACCTGCATTCACCTGCTTTCACCTGCCTTCACCTGCTTTCACCTGTATTCGCTTGCATTCACCTGTTTTCAGCTGCATTCAGCTGCATTCACCTGAATTCACCTTCATTCACCTGCACTCACCTGCTTTTGCTGCATTCAGCTGCACTCACCTGCTTTTGCTGCATTCACCTGCTTTCACCTGCTTTCACCTGCTTTCACCTGCATTCACCTGCATTCACCTGCATTCACCTGCTTTCACCTGCATTCACCTGCATTCACCTGCACTCACCTGCTTTCAGCTGCATTCACCTGCATTCACCTGCATTCACCTGCATTCACCTGCTTTCACCTGCATTCACCTGCTTTCACCTGCATTCACCTGCTTTCGCTGCATTCACCTGCTTTCACCTGCTTTCACCTGCTTTCACCTGCATTCACCTGCACTCACCTGCTTTCGCTGCATTCACCTGTTTTCAGCTGCATTGACCTGCATTAGTATGCATTCCATTATTTTTTTTTAATCCACTATTGTGATTTGTGAAGCAGACAGTACAACACACACTTGGTATGGTAATAATAATAATAATAATAATAATAATAATAATAATAATAATAATAATATGCGACAGACTGGCAACCTGTTCAGGTGACCCCGCCTCTCGCCCAGAACGCAGCTGGAGGGCACCAGCTACTCCCGACCCCGTTAGGGAGAAGGGTGACCGGGAAAATGGATGGATGGATAATAATAATATTATTAATAATAATGATAATACTGATAATAATTATTATTATTATTTCTGCATACCAGGTGTAAAGTAATAAAATATTCATCTTTTCCATCTGTATCCCAGCTGTTTAAGTCATTTACAATAAAGTCTACGTTTCTATTATTATTCTTTAAAAATCAGAAGCATTTTGGCTTTATTGTTAACTTGAGAACATTTCTTTGATTGGTGTATTCTGAATTAACAAATGCTATTTGGTTTCTCCCAGTCTTTTCAAATGTGCATTTCCATCGAAAGGTTTGAAGTGTTAAAATGTATCAACAGCAGAGATACATAAAAACGAGACGTGATTTGTTAACATTTCAGCCCAGGCACATCACAAATCACAGGATGTGTGATTTATTGTGAAATCGGTCCAGTCAACGAACTGGATTGTAGTTTTCTTTTATTTTACTTGAAGAAAGTCAAACACTGACGTTTATGTTCAAAATGGTTTCCGGAAACATACTTCCAGAGACCATTTTCACTTTTCCTGTGAAAATGCTGTCTGACGTCAGTGAGCTGCCTTTCTTGTCCTTCCAGATGGATTTTAACGGACCGAGCAGAACAAGAAGCTTTAATAGCAGCTCTTTCTTCTCTGAGACGCCAAACGGTGAGCGCGTTTCTCAGAGCCTTTCGATCAATCAAATGAGTGTTATGGAATATTATATTTAACTGGTTATGGATTTGAACCAGTTCTGATCACATAATTTATAACTAAGTTAAATCGTTGGAAAATTCAGAGTGAAAATGTCTTGCATGTGTCAGAAATTTAAGAGTCCAATTTCTTAATAGAACAAAAATCAAGTAACTTTATTTGTATAGCACAAGGCGGGAAGCAAGAAATCGATCTGCAGTAAATGTCAATAAAAATCTCAATAAATATATTGATATCAGATGCATGTTTGTTGTACTGTCTGTGCAGCTGGTCCGAAGACGGGTCGCAGCTCGGTGGTCTCCAGTCTGGACTGCCTGTCCAGCATTGTGGAGCGGATCTCCACGGACGGCAGCGGCCTGCAGCCCGGGCCTGAAGCCTCCAGCTCCACGGCCTCCTCAGGTCCGCTCAGCGAGGCAGGAAAGGCCCGAGAGTCCACTCAGATCCCCTCCCCCCCCCACAACCAGGACCCAAACCTCATCTACCAAGTCCTATAGAACCTCCTGCTCAGCACAGCTGGAAAATAACACGCTGCCTTGTTGTAGAGTTCTTACTGGAAAACACGTACTGTAACAAAATGCCCTCATTATTCTGCTTTTAAAGAGTCAACAGCTGTGAGGCATCCATCATGTCAAAGGAAGAAAAAACTCATTCAACTCGAAATTTTTTATATTAGTTTTGAAATTGAATTCAATGTGATTTTATATTTCAGTAGTCTTAATTGAAACTTTAAAGATATTAATGAACCTCAATTTTTTTTCCAATTAAAAATCTAAAAACTAAGTGAATAGACCATTATTATTATTATTATTATTATTATTATTATTATTATTATTATTATTATTATTATTATTATATGTACTTTTTTCATCCCTGTTGAAGAGGTAACTAAGTAGAAACCTGTCACTACTTTGGTACCAGAAGGTTGATTGTATAAATGCAAAACTAAGAAGAATAATTTATTTTTTCACCACAGATGATTATTCCACTTTTTGGGTTAAGTGAGTGGATTCAACATTATTCTACTAATAACTTTTTTTTCTATTTAAGTTATATGAAAAAAACAACTAATTTTGTTCCATCTGATGAAACAAGTCTGAAAAGCATGCAGTAACATTCCTCCACTCTCATTCTTCCTTCTAAAGTCCTGAAGGCTCCAGTAGATCTGAAAATACAAGAACAACAAAAACCTGCAGAGAAAATCTACTGACAAAACAAGAGAGACCGCAGTTGGAGAAGTAATCTACTGTTTGTGTTTTATTGTTTGGTTTTAAACTCCTGAAGTCTTCGTCAGGACCATTCAGTTTTTTATTTAGTTCTTGTTTCTCTACATATCGTGTAAATAAGAGCCGATTTGTTTCATGTATTTCTTGTATTTAATGTTCCTGTTTTATTGTTTGTTGTGAAAAGATGGCCACCTTTATATTTATACTGCTGAAAATTGTGTGAAATTTTGAAGAAAAATAAATCCACTGGCTTATTTATACAAAAAGCCTAACTTTGACACTTTATCAGATTTCAAGAAATTTTATTTAAAGATTAAAATAATTAAAAACAAAAGATCTCTGGATGGATGAAACTTGACCCATCCTCAGGTTGGCTCTCGACAGACAAAGGAATGATGTCAACAGCGTCATCTGCTGGTAAAACTGAGAAAGTCCTGTATTTTCTTTTTTCCAGCTTTTAAAACCATTCTTTGCATTTCAGGTAAGTTATTATACAAGAAGGCATTTAGTCATGAGGCTTTGATCATTTCTTTGAAACATATTAGAATGTGACAAAATGTTATGACTCATTTAGGACAAAACAGCTTGAAACACGTGAATCTATTTGAAATAAAAGGAAAGATTTTGGAAAACAGGAAACAAAATCTTTCCCTGCTGCTAAATGCTGATTCTAGTCTCTTGTTTAGACAAAAGTTTAGTTTCCTGTGTAACAGGCTTAACCTTCTTACAATAACTCTATGTTTTACTGTATTAGGATAAACTTTATAAAACTTTTTTTTTCTGCATTATTGATTACAGAGAGCTACACAGTGGCGCTGTTGCCTTGCAGTAAGAAGGTCCTGGGTTCGATTCCCGGCCCGGGGTCTTTCTCCACGGAGTTTGCATGTTCTCCCTGTGCATGCTGGGTTCTCTCCGGGTTCTCCGGCTTCCTCCCACAGTCCAAAAACATGACTGTCAGGTTAATTGGCCTTCCCAGATTCTCCCTAGGTGTGTGTGTGTGTGTGTGTGTGTGTGTGTGTGTTTGTGTGTGTGTCAGACTGGTGACCTGTCCAGGGTGACCCCGCCTCTCGCCCAGAACATTAGCTGGAGAGACACCAACACCTCCTGACCCCGTTAGGGAGAAGGATGATCAGAAAATGGATGGATTGATTGATTACAGGAGCAGCTCTTTGTCTCCATCAGACTTTACATTTAAATTACACCTCACTGTTTTCACACAGAGTCAGAATTTCTGACTCATAACTTTGACCGGTTCTGATCTACATGATTTGCACTTATCTGCAATACTCTGAAAATAATCCATGTTCCCAGAGTCACGGTCCATTCCAGATGACTTCTAGTCAACGTGGATGTTGTCTTTGAACAAAGTTGACACTTGGTTTCCTTTTGGCAGCAGAAAGTTGGACCCGGCTGATTCTATTCTCTAAAAGTAAAATTACAGTCACAACACTTGAAATCTCATCATTCAAAATACTCAATAAGCATAAGAATCACCTGTTTCAATTATCAGCAGAATGATCAATTTAAAAAAATCAGCAGGACAAACTTAAAATTTTATTTGAAATATTTCTCTATGCTGAGACATGTCATATATTTATTTCTGATCAGGAAGGATGATGGATCATGTAACATAGAAGTTCTTGAGAAAGGCCAAAGCATCTCTGATGTTCTTGAGCCTGAATATTCTTCAGACACATCCATCCTCTGAGCTGAAGTTTTTACGTCCCCATTTCAAGCACATTGCACTCTATTGCACAGCAGACCGTTGAAAATAATGACATTTAGGCTGACTGAAGTGAAAAGCATGTTCTGAATGATCGAAGCTTTTGACTCAAGACTAGAATCAGCTCGGCAAAATAAAAGCTGAACAGATGACTTTAAGATTCCACATCTGAAAAGACGGAACTTTATTGGCTTCTGATAACTACAGACATGGCTTGAAGAGTCACACTTTATTTACAAAATTACTGAGAACCACAGAGTTGAGGGTGAGGAGGTGTGATGCAAGCACGTTGAGTGGTGTTTTCTTTCTATTAAACGGCGGCTAACGGCTCCTGGTTTCTTCAGGACGTGGCTGAGAAACCGCAGGGCGGACCTCAGCGTTCCTAGTTTCTTCAGAGGTGCAACCTTCTCCACAGTGTGATTTGCTTCATCCTGTGTGTGTCCATGGTGATGGCTGTTTGCTTTGCAAGCACTTGTGGGTTCAGCCAATCTACTTTCTGCGGCGAGCTGCAGCACCTTTCTTGCTGCTGTAATTCCAAACAGAAAACAGAAAACATGTCAGAGCTGCGGCTACATATTTTTCATTCCAAACAGAAGCAACTGGTGTCTCATTTGTCCCAAAGATGCCAAGTTGGTGAAAAGTAAAGGCAAATAGATTTGCACCATTTGGCACGCTGTTTTCTACAAGTAGAAAACAGTGTGCTGTAAATTCATTTATTTATTCACAGAAGGCTTTACTCCTTCCTTTCACATCTAATCATTGATTAATTAGCTGAAAAATTTCATTGATTAGGGCTGCACAGTGGTGCAGTGGGTAGCACTGTTGCCTTGCAGCAAGAAGGTCCTGAGTTTGATTCCCGACCCGGGGGTTTCTGCATGTATTGTGCATGTTCTCCCTATGCATGCTGGGTTCTCTCTGGGTACTCCAGCTTCCTTCCACAGTTCAAAAATATGACTGTCAGGTTAATTAGTCTCTGTAAATTCTCCCTAGGTGTGGCTGTGTGTGCATGGTTGTTGCCCTGTGATGGAATGGCGACCTGTCCAAGGTGACCCCGCCTCTCGCCCGAAATGTTAGCTGGAGAGGCACCAGCTGACCCCTGCTGCTAATTAGTTGATTCATATTTATACTGAGGTTAAAGCTAATCTTGAGAGTTAAAACATTTTGGACAAACTTCAAACCTTGTTTGCAAATTGTTATCCTTTTTATTCAGTCTGACAGTTTTTATTATGTTTAGTATGTGAGATGAGAACACATATGTAAAATGAAGAAAAAAATAGTCCATATATCTATTCATTTTTTATGCACAAGCAGATTGGCTATGTGAATATCTACAGTTTAAACATCCAATACAAACAACTTTTAATGTTTTGAAAGATTTGAAAATCCTTCATTTCATCCAGTTCTGTTTTAGCAAATACTGAGTAATTGAAAAATATAATACTTATTAATCTAACTGACGTGTTTGATTCCCTGCCAGCGTAGTACATGACTAATCACCAAACAGGTTGACAGCAAAAGGAGAACTGCAGGTGTGACCTACTGTGTTTTTGGAGGGGTGGCTAAACATAAAAATATTGTTTTAAATCAATTACAACTTTAATATATCCTGCAAACTGCAACAAAAATTCAAAGATGGTCTCAGCTCAAGGAGCTAAAGCACTAAAAATCTGATGTTGTGTCAGCAAAGGTCATAAAACGAACCAAATAACAACTCAAAGTATTTTAGACTAAATCCATGTTCACTCATTCACAACTGATGCACAACTTTGTGTAAAGTGCCTTGCTCAAGGACACAGTGAAGACACTAGAATGAAACTCACAACTTCCAGGTTGCAGGAAATCTACCTAGCAACAGATCCTAGTTACCAGCTCTAGCCAAGTCCTGGGTGGAGAGTTAGTCTCCATGGTAACAAAGTGATTCTCAGAAACTGTGCAATTTGACAAAACTTGAATTTTGTGACTTACAATTTACTGAGCTCCTCCACTCTCTTGCGCAGTCTTGTAATCTGAATAGAAAAGAAATCAAGAATTTGAATCTCAGAAGGTGAAGGAGGTGAAGGAAGTGAAGGAAGTGAAGGAAGTGAAGGAGGTGAAGAAAGTGAAGGAAGTGAAGGAAGTGAAGGAGGTGAAGAAAGTGAAGGGAAGGAGGTGAAGGAGGTGAAGGAAGTGAAGGAAGTGAAGGAGGTGAAGGAAGTGAAGAAAGTGAAGGAGGTGAAGGAAGTGAAGGAGGTGAAGGAGGTGAAGAAAGTGAAGGGAAGGAGGTGAAGGAAGTGAAGGAAGTGAAGGAGGTGAAGGAAGTGAAGGAGGTGAAGAAAGTGAAGGAGGTGAAGGAAGTGAAGGAGGTGAAGAAAGTGAAGGAAGTGAAGGAAGTGAAGGAAGTGAAGGAGGTGAAGGAGGTGAAGAAAGTGAAGGGAAGGAGGTGAAGGAAGTGAAGGAAGTGAAGGAGGTGAAGGAAGTGAAGGAGGTGAAGAAAGTGAAGGAGGTGAAGGAAGTGAAGGAGGTGAAGGAAGTGAAGGAAGTGAAGGAAGTGAAGGAGGTGAAGAAAGTGAAGGGAAGGAGGTGAAGGAAGTGAAGGAGGTGAGGGAGGTGAAGGAAGTGAAGAAAGTGAAGGAAGTGAAGCTGAAGGAGGTGAAGGAAGTGAAGGAGGTGAAGGAAGTGAAGGAGGTGAAGGAAGTGAAGGAAGTGAAGGAGGTGAAGGAGGTGAAGGAAGTGAAGGAAGTGAAGGAAGTGAAGGAGGTGAAGGAAGTGAAGGAGGTGAAGGAAGTGAAGGAAGTGAAGGAGGTGAAGGAGGTGAAGGAGGTGAAGGAAGTGAAGGAGGTGAAGGAGGTGAAGGAAGTGAAGGAAGTGAAGGAGGTGAAGGAAGTGAAGGAAGTGAAGGAGGTGAAGGAGGTGAAGGAGCAGAGCAGAGCAGGTGGAAGTGAAGCTTTCATTGTTCATGTTCTGAAATTCTTTCATATCAAAAACCTGAAGGAAAACGTTTCAAAACCAACCCAAAATTAGAGGAAATTCTACAATGACCAGATTTAGTTTTCTTTCTTTTTTTTGTATCTCATGGAACAAAACTGAATAAATAACATCATAGAAAAAATCTTAATGTAATACATTCACTATTAGACGCCTGTATAACAATTACGACTCAGTTTGTAATTTGAATTTGAACTTGTCCATGACATATTACTGAATTGATTTCATATGTTTCTGTGTATAAACCAGATCTTGTGAATTGTTGCTATAAATGAACTGAATTAAAATCGAATCAGTATTTCAATACTAACAAAATAAAAATCTGTGTTAAAAAAATCATTATCACTGGTTCTGCATTTTCATTTCAAAAATAAAGGTTTATAATTATGATAAGTTTTATTGGCCATTGGGGTCTGATGTGTGAAAGTGATCAACTCTTCTCACCTCGTACTTCTGCAGCTTCAGTCTCTCCATGTGGTCGAACTTCTCAGACTCCAGCTGACGCATCCAGTCACTGAATTCATTGATCTTTTCCCTGCAGGAGAACCAATCAGCTTTTTACAAACTGCGACTGCTGCTCTAAAGCATCTCTATCCAGTGTAAAAAAGTAGACAGCAAACAGGAAGAAACGTCAGAGTGATGCTCAGTAAAATGGTTTTTAGTTTAGAAACAGAAGGTTAGATCATAATGTGTAACAGCTTTAACTCTCGTGTCCACAAGGAGTTTTTACTGGTGTCTGACTTTTTTTGTAGACAAGAAACAACAAAAAGATCCTTCCTGGAAGAGAAAACGAGTCATACTTCAACTTGTCCTCGCTCAGGTGGTCGATGTTGAGCGCCTTGCGCCTGGCGGCCAGGATCTTCTTCTTCTTCTCCCTCTCAGTCTCTTTCTTTCCTCCTCTCTTCTGGTCAGCCTGTTTAGTATGGAGACAGATCAAGATTCAAACTACGCCTCCATCAGTGTTTGTGTGTGTGTGTGTGTGTGTGTGTGTGTGTGTGTGTGTGTGCTGACCCTCTGCAGGTGGCTGCTGTAGTTGGAGCCCATGCTGGACAGAGCTGACTTCTTCTTGGCATCCTCATCAGCCTTCTTCTTGGCATCAGCCTCCTCCCTTGTCCGCCTCTCCTCCTGTGTTCACAACACACCATGAGTTCACACTGTTGCTGTTCGGCGCCATCGCATCACATTCTGTCCACTGACCTCACGTCTGGCCTGGCGCTCTTTGTCCTTCTCAGCTCGGACCCTCTGCTGCTCGGCCCTCTCGGCGCGACGCTTCTCCTGCAGGGTTAGGACAAGTGCAGTCATGGAGACCGTGAAAAAACACTTGCATTGCAAAAATTTGAAATCTTACCAAGTCATTTGAGTCCTGTTTCTAGAGCAAATATCTCAGTCTGCTTGAAATAAAGCAAAACTAACTTACAAGTACATTTTCAACAAGATAAATAAACTTGTTTTATGTCAATAATTCATAAATATTTATTAAAAGAAAGTACGTTCTGCATTGCAGATAATTCCACTTATAACAATATGTTTTTCCCAAGTCATAAGTGAAATAATTTGTCTTTGGAAGTAATACTTTTTTCATCAATATTAAGGAGATCTAGATTTTAACCAACATATTAAAAATGTTTTATTTGCATTGTTATGGCACTTGACTGAATGTAGTTTTTGATTACTGATTCCATGTTGCATGACTTGGTGTTTTTGTGTTAATTATGTAAAGCACTTAGAAATGCCTTGCTGCTGAAATGTGCTATACAAATAAAATCATTGGTTTGAGTGTTTGGCACTTCAAAACATTTATATATATATATATATATATATATATATATATATATATATATATATATATATATATATATATATATATATATATATATATATATATATATATATATATATATACACAATCTTACTTCTGATTGAGCAGAAGTAAGAAAAATGAAAGAAAATATAAAAAAAATGAATTCATTGCTGACTCCTCTTGAAGGCATGCTTTCACTGCTGTGCAGGGCTTTTTGGATCAGTCCAAGTCAACGAGTCAGACTCACAATCCTCTCCTTGAGTGCGATCAGCTCTTCCTCCTCCTTCTTCCTGCACTCAAAGTGAGCGTCAATCAGGGCCTGCAGCTCCATCAGATCCTTATTCTGACGTTTCTTCTGGATGTCCTGCATTGTGAAAAATGTTAATTATAATTATAATAATAATAAAATGAACCCACCACTCAGCAGGAAACATCACAGACAGACCAAATCAAACTTTCATTTAATTCTCACTTACATCAAAGTCCACTTTCTCACCATCTGGGATCTTTGGAGCGCTGGGCCTGCAACAGGATTCACTTTTTGAGTCTACTGATGTGGGCCATTTTCTGTTTATTGTTGCTTTGTGGCCAATGATCACATGACTACAGGAGGAAACTTACTTGAACTTTGGCTTCTCCTCTGCAGGTTAAGAAATGAAGAGGGGATGAGTGCATGTCATTGGGTTAGGAGGGATACAGACTATACTACACTTCTTTTGGGCATTGCTCACAGATCACAGTCATTTGAAATGAGATTAATTTGTGGAAAAAAAACCTTGCCTTATTAACAGCTAAGGTTAGAGTCACAACAGGGAAATGAAAGAACATTTAATGAAACAGATATGGGCAGAAGTGTGAACTTTAAACATGGATTAACTAAAACGTGTGTGAGAATCAAGAGGCAGTTAAATCTGAACGGTTAATACAACCAGTCTCTCGGTTAGTGTTTCTTTCTTTACTTCTTCCTTCCTAACCATTTTTTCTTTTTGGCTTGACCCCCAAAATTATTTAACACAAATTATTTCTTCATGTTCTGTCTGTTAGCCATGTGATGCATGTGATGCATGTGATGCATGTGATGCATGTGATGCATGTGATGCATGTGATGCATGTGATGCATGTGATGCATATGATGCATGTGATGCATGTGATGCATATGATGCATGTGATGCATGTGATGCATGTGATGCATGTGATGCATGTGATGCATGTGATGCATGTGATGCATGTGATGCATGTGATGCATGTGATGCATGTGATGCATGTGATGCATGTGATGCATGTGATGCATGTGATGCATGTGATGCATGTGATGAGCTGCAGAACAAACATAGATGGACTTCCAGACCTGGAAGAGCAGAGTTTTAGGGAAGAGAAACATGAGCTCTGTTTTCAGAAGGTGTGTTCAGCCCTGCTGGCAGCAGTTTAATGGATAACTGAAGACTTTTAGCAGCATAAATAAATAGTTCCCAACATTTACTGTGCAGGAAAGCATGTGTTAGGAATCCATATTCTTTCACCCTTTTTTCCTCTCCAATAACACTTTTGTTTTGTTTCTAAAAACATATGAAAAACCCACTTTGTTTTCATTCTTATGTCTTAAACACTGGTGCCCTGACAACTGGTTGGTGCTCCTGGACTGACAATGATGACTGACAGAAACAAGCCTCAAACCAGAACACTGACATCCCACCAAAACCAGAAGAATCCCTTTCATATCCATCAAATGTTTAACTCTACGTACCTTCCTCTTCAGCTCAACGACGTCAGCATGCAACAAGCATCGAATATCACAGAACAGCAACGTTTGACATTGAAATAGGTGAACAAACCCATTCAACGTAAGGAAAATAAAAAAAAAACAAAATCAGCTATCCAAAACATCAAATTCATAAAAATTATTGGGTAGTTGCTGGTTAGTTTGCATGGCTATCCCATTTTACACTTTTGTTGTTTCTGTTGGATAAACATAAATAAGTGGAACATTTACATTTACTTTAGACATTAACGAGGTTAAAAATGTACACATTTTGAAAGTAACGTCAATTTCTGTCAGTAGGAGACAAATATGTTAGTCAAGCCTTCTGTGTGCATATCATTTAGTATTGTGCGTACATTATGCTTATTAAGTAGGTCTAAAACCAAATTAGATGACTGCCCTTCAATTTCATTTTTAACAAAATGAAATCTTTTTAAAACATCCCCCAGTTCTGCTAAAGCTAGTGATGTTTACTGTTACTGTCAAGTAAATATGTTATTGAATAAAACAAATGAAATGACAGACTTATGTAGAGATATCACATACTTCTCTTCTAGAAGTATTAGAGTAAATTTGAACTGAAACAGTCACATTCAATCGGAGATTCAACAAAGGATCCATTTGGGTCAATGTACAAGAATGACACACTAAGGAAACGTTTTGGCACCTTCTGAATTCTGAGCAGCTATGCTGTCAGTTAGGACAAACAGCATGGGGCCAGAAAATAGGTTTAACCAATAAAGTATGAGTTAAAGCTAAATGAATTTTGGTGCCTGGTACATTTAGGGGGAATTCTGCATGGATTGAACAACTTCTGCCCACACTCTGGTGCTTCTCTCCAGGTTCTCATGTTTCCTCCCACAGTTCAGAAACATGCTGGCATGTTAACTGGTTGTGCTGAAATCATCATTAGGTGTGTTGCATTGTGTCTCTGTGCCGTCCTGTGCTGGACAGACTGCTGACCTGTCCAGGTGGTACCACCCCCATTCCCTGAACCAAGGTACTGTCAGATAAAAAGCTCAAACACAGATGTTGTTCAGTTTGAGTTCAAATAAATTACTAAATTCAGATAAAACAGTAGGCGTACAACCAACTAGCATTTAGCCTCCAACAGACAAACTGTATTTACGTCTCAACCAGCTGATGGTGATACGACATGTTGCTACTGTTGTGTTGTTTCATCTTGGCAACTATCACCAATACTTCACAGAGCCGTCATTCAGCAATGCAAACTAAGGCTGTAAGTATTAAAGCGCAGAATGTACCATTTGATGAAAATATATATTTTTTAGATTTTTATTGAAACTGTCTCTAAGTCATGGCAGAATGATATGAAACATACCATGTATATATATATATATATATATATATATATATATATATATATATATATATATATATATATATATATTTTTTTTTTTTTTGAGTTGAGGTGAAAGGAAGGTAGTATGTGCAGACAGTGTCAAGACGTTAGTGGGGTCTTTGCATTGAAAGAGATGACAGAAGAACCCCGTCCCCCTTCTTGCCACATACCTTCAGGCTCAATCATTGGCTCTGGTTCTGGTTCTGCCACTGGCTCTGGCTCTGGTTCTACCACTGGTTCTGGTTCTGGTACTGGTTCTGGTTCAGGCTCAGGTTCTGCCTCTGGCTCAGGGGCCACCTCAGGGGCCACCTCTACCTCCTGCACTACCTCCACTTCTACAGCTATACAGCATGCAGCAAATCACCGTGGAGATGGAGGTGGGGGGTGGAGGGTGGGGGCAGCAAGAGATTTAATAGGAGTGGGGGAGATGGAGAAGGGGAAAGAGATGGATGTTTTCAGTTGTGGATATGGAAGGGAACATATGAGAATTAATGATGATGCTGTTTGGTCAGTTTCCACAAGATGGCGCCAAAGCACATGAGACAGCAGGCATCAGAAAGAGAAATACAAAAAGGACCATTGATGGATGAAATGGGATTGCAGCTGCACTGCCACTTGTATGTTTTTGATTTTAAATACTGTTAATGTTAAACAGCATGCTGCATAAAGTATATCTGGAAGAACTCAACTCACAAGTGGGTCATAAATGAGTTATTTTTTTAATGTTACGGTTGGTAGTTTGCCGGTTGTCTTACCATCGTATTCTTGATCCGAGAAAGAAAGGAGCAGAAGAATATTATCATTTCATCCCATTTGTACCCATTTTTCAAAAAGTATAAATGTAAACGATGGGCACAGTGGGAATCCATGCTAAGCGACACAAAGCAGTCATTCTGGGCTGATGGGAGCATTAAGATGAATAAAACAATCACTTTTCAGATGGGAGTGTGCTCAGCTCAGAAGGACAGCTACAACTGCAGATAGTCATGCAGAGCTATATTTGCAAACAGGGGAATTGGATTTAAACAGCATGGTCAATTTTTTTTTTTTTTTTTTTTTTGCCAGTGCTGCAACCAGCATGAATGCTACAGCAACAAAAGCATTTCTTTTCAGTCTGCATGGTTCCAATCTGGAGGAGTCAAGCCAAACCTGCAAACAGACAAAACTGTCCAGTGCTAACTTTCTACAGGGAATGGAAAATCAGTTAGAAAATGTTCAGAAATGTCATCTGGATTTAGCATGGAGCTCCCAATTGTACCTGGGCAAGATACTTTGACAATAAAAATATACATTAAAGTATACAAAATATAACTACTTACCCTCGACCTGCTCACTGCAGAACAGAAGACAAAAACAAGTTAGCATCAAAAAATACTCACCACTACAGAACACAGTAATATGTTAAAGTGTAAAGAGTATTTTGGAACATTTCTCAAGAGGAAATAAAAGATGCTGAGATTTTATTCTGTTTGTTTAATCAAAAGTACTGAAACATTTTTATTTCTGAGAGGAAATGGGAGAAGACTTACACTTCCTCTGCGTCAGACATGGTGGCAGTGGACTTTAAAACCTTAAAACCAAAGAAAACAGGAGTTTGAAGTCTGTCTTTAAGGAGCAACTGTGTCTCCTGTTGTATTTATAGCTCAGGATTGAGTAGCAGATGCCTTAAATACATGCAGCAGACCCCACCCTAAATAAGCGCCAACCTGTTTACTTTCACACAATCCTCCTTAGTAGAAATACATGAACAAAAATTATAACATCTCATTTATTTTCAATGTTTCTCCCAATAATATTTCTTGTCACATCTTTCTAACGTAATGATATCTGGACAACTTGGTTGTATAATTGGTGCAAAACGCTGGACTGAAATTTGAGCCACAGTCATGAATTTGCTTCTCTCATGATAAATGAGAAGGAGACTAAACATAGATTTATGCCAATAATCTGTTTTTAACTACCGAGGCAGGAGATTAATATTGCGGTGGAGGAAAAAAAAAGGTCCAGTGATAGAGTTACAGGTCAGCCTGCTGCTGTCCTCCCCCATCAGCAGCTAATGTGATTTTGTCTTTATTGGAGCAACTATCCACATGTTAGCATCAATTTTTGCACATTCTAAATGTGTTTCAGCATTTCATCGGGAGCATGTCTGGGTACAGTGTGCCATCAAAACCCAACAACAAACACAGACTTTACTCATCATTAAATCCATTACCTGATGAGATTTTTGGTTTATTTCTCTTCATTATAAATCTCTTTAGCAAAAACTTCCTGACATCATCACTTTCTCCAGATGACAGCTGCACAGGTCTCAGATTTGGTTTCACTTTGTATGATGTAAAATATTGGATTCCGTCTGCTGGACTTCCTCCAGCATCATTCCCTTATATGGATTTTTTCTGCTCTCACATGGTTCCTTCAATCATCCTCCAGGCGCCTTGTTGACTGAAGCTGCTTTACTTGGGATTTACAGCAAAGTCCTGAATGATTTGATAGATGAAGTTTCTGTCCACATTTTAATGTGATGTCAGTAAAGTAGGTGTGTTGGCATTTTGATATGTCAACACATTCAGTCTTGTAGTCGGTATTTTACTGTCCACATCCAAAATTGTCACATAAATTTGCAGCAGTGGTGAAACTGTTTGTTCACTGGTTCTACCCAGTGAACCAGCAGGTGGAAAGCTTGCTGGGCTGAGCTAAGGTTCTGAGCTAAGGTTCTGAGCTAAGGTTCTGAGCTAAGGTTCTGAGCCATCTGCAAATCCCTTCAGCATCTCTCCCCACTCAACCAAACTTGACTCCAGCCATGACAACACAAAAATTACAGCAAAGTCCAGCTGCGTGTCTGACAAGAAAGTGAGATTCACCGGCTTACGTTGTGTCTATACTCCTAAATAAACAGTATATTTTCTTCTCAGTTAAAGTTAGACAGATAAACATCAGTAGAGGTAGCCCATAGATCATCAGCTCTTCTGGCAGAAATACTTCAGATATTTGCTTCATTGAGCTCAAACAGTAGCTGTAGCTCTGATCTTTGTAAATGTCTCAACTGGTGGCGAGAGTGATTTTAAGACACATGGACTCAGTTTGCACCTGACTTTAAGTGATGTTTAAGGACATTGCAGTTGAGTTCCCACCATCATACACACATGCAATCACTCCTGCTCTGCCTTACCTCAGAAAAGCTGAATGAAGTGAGCTCCCTGTTGGCCAACACAGGCTGTAAGGTTCTGCAAACTTACCACCGTGATTATGTCCTTCTGTTATAGTGACACTTGATCCATTCAACCTCCCTATTGGCCAGAGGCCGGGCTTGAAGACACGCCCGTCCCTGTCATGGGGCAGGAACCACGTCTTCAGTGTGCACCCCGCCCTGCGCCAGTGCTCAATAAGGAGATGGAAGGCTCGAATGTTAGGGAGGGAGGTTCTAGTTTGGTGAGAGCAACGGAGAAGATGCCTGCAGGATGCTATTCTGGTGTCGCTGCATTAGGCAAGCAAATTTCATCTGAGCAGCAGATGGGAGCTGGTCGTCAGGGAGAACAGCAGGTGGTGCTTCAGAAACGAATCCAAGCAAACACAATGTACAGTTTACATGAAAAATTGAGAACATTCACAAGATTTTTTAGACTGAAATTTCCATCAACATGTTGAGCCTTCTCTATTGGTTTTCTGTAATTGCATGTTCCTTTGAGTGCTTCTCACAGTAATACTGATGGTAGAGATTTTGATTCGATCATAGTTTACATCCTTCATAGCCGACATTAAGATGGAGGAGATGTTTTCCTACCGTGGTTGACTGAATTCAGGTTTGATAAAAAGCAATAGCAGAATTTCATTTGTATTTGTGATGAGCTGCACCTTGAGTCATCCAGTATAGTGGAGCTTTGTGAAATCTTCTCTCATTGACGTTGACTGTGCTTTCCACCAGATGGTGCTCGAATAACAGAATTCAGACCCGGAGTCATAGTGTTGCCCTGATCACGCCAAGAAAACCGAATAGTAACAAGAGAAAAGGGAACAAACTGGGATCTTGACCAGTCAAAGGTGAAATGCTTCACATTCATTCTTGTGTTCAGTTTACCGAGTGAAGGAAATATTTCAGATTAAGTATTAGATTCATTTGAACATAAATTAAGGGTGCAGGAAAGAGAAAAACGGCTCTTCTGGTTGGTAACTTGGTGCCTCAGGACCAGCTCTGTCCTGCTTTTAATCAAAGTATACACTCAAGATTTCTAAAATTGATACTAAAAATGCTTTTGCTCTGCACCTTTATGGCAACAAAAATGACTTCAAAAGACCATCTTGATTCAGTTTTTGTTTTTGGAGTTATCAAAACTATTCGTTTCGTCTAAACCTTTAATTTGCCATGATGTTGGACCCAATCCCAACAAATTATTCAAAGAACTGTTCCCTTTGACGTCTGCACCTATTTTATATGTGATTGTGTTGAAAGTCACAAATATTCTCTTGGCCTCAGACGATGAAGTTGTATCTGTTTTGGTTGCTTCAGACAATTGATATTCTCATAGAAAGTGTGAAGCATGTTGCCAAGATCAAGAGAACAGATTTAATCTCACAGTTTCCAGTTTGTTCATGTAAATGAGACAGAAGTTGTTCTCTTTGTACCAGACTCTGAAAAATAAACTGCTTTGTCAATCCCTGAATCTGGAAGACATTGAACTGGCCTCCAATAATGAAGCTGAGACTGTTTGACCCAAACATGTCAATGAAATCTTGCATTAAACAGATTTTGAGAATTGTCTTCTTCGTCTCCAGAATATCAACAAAACTGGAAACATCTTGTCCAGAATTGATGCTGAAAAACTTCTTCATGCCTTCATACCTCAAGGCTGGGCTGCTGTAATTGTTAGGGTTGTTATGAGATACCCTTGTATCTAGTTCATAAGATACAATTAAAAGCCTTCAGCTGGTCCAAAATGAAGGAGCCCTCGAGGGGACATGGGGAAAAAAAAAAATGTTGCTTTCCTTCGCAAAAGGTTTTGCGCTCTCTAGCAATACTGTAAGCCTTTCTTGCAGGCCGCCATCCTTTCTGCCTTAAGACCAGCTTATTTAAGGTTTGTACATGTTTGTTAATAGCTCGTTGTGGAATATCCAAAGTTTTATATATTTTTCATCATTCTAGAAATACGCCACAAACCTAGGATGGAAACAGAAACTTTCTCCAAGTAGGAAAGAAATAAAAATACATCCAAACTATTTGGACTTTTACTTACTATCGAGGGATAATAAATCATCTGACAGTTTTGATTGTGTGTCAATTGTGCTGGTCTGAATGGTTTCAAGGCCCATTTCCATCTCGACCTCAACAGACATAAACATGCAGTTAAATAGTTTCAATCAGTTTTTTCACCAACGAGTTCAATAAAAAAAACTTAGGCTCTGTAAAATGAATGAAACAGAATGATAGAAACAGAGGCTTTGACACTTGGGTGGTGGGTGTGTCTCTGTGGCCGTGATGTCATCAATATGAATGGGAAGATCAGTATCCTGCTGGCTTAGTGTGTATGAGGAAGCGGTGAGCGGGGAGGTCAGTCCTTGCAAAGTTTGATGCATGATAATGAAAATGGAATAAATCCATAATTGTTACGGAACAAAGACGAGGCCTGGAGATGACTGACATGCATCTGACAGATGTGATTCCTCGAGTTAACCCCGAGTTAACCCCCAGTTAACCCCGAGTTAACCCCGAGGTAACCCCGAGTTAACCCCCAGTTAACCCTGAGTTAACCCCGGTTAACCCCCGAGTTAACCCCAAGGTAACCCTGAATTAACCCCGAGTTAACCCCGAGGTAACCCCGAGTTAACCCCGAATTAACCCCGAGTTAACCCCCAGTTAACCCCGAGTTAACCCCGAGGTAACCCCGAGTTAACCCCCAGTTAACCCTGAGTTAACCCTGAGTTAACCCCCAGTTAACCCAGAGTTAACCCCCAGTTAACCCCAAGGTAACCCCAAGGTAACCCTGAATTAACCCCGAGTTTAACCCGAGGTAACCCCGAATTAACCCCGAGTTAACCCCAGTTACCCCCTAGGTAACCCTGAGTTAACCCCCAGTTAACCCTGAGTTAACCCTGAGTTAACCCCCAGTTAACCCAGAGTTAACCCCCAGTTAACCCCAAGGTAACCCCGAATTAACCCCGAGTTAACCCCGAGTTAACCCCGAGTTAACCCCGAGGTAACCCCGAATTAACCCCGAGGTAACCCCGAATTAACCCCGAGTTAACCCCGAATTAACCCAGAGTTAACCCCAAGGTAACCCTGACCCCGAGCTAACCGAGTTAACCCACTTAACCCCGAGTTAACCCCAAGGTAACCCTGAATTAACCCCGAGTTAAAACCGAGTTAACCCCGAATTAACCCCGAGTAACCCCGAATTAACCCCGAGTTAACCCCGAGATAACCCCCGAATTAACCCCGAGGTAACCCCAGTTAACCCCGAGTTAACCCCGAGGTAACCCCGAATTAACCCGAGGTAACCCCGAATTAACCCCGAGTTAACCCGAGGAAACCCCGTGTTAACCCCGAATTAACCCCGAGTTAACCCCGAATTAACCCCGAGGTAACCCCCAGTTAACTCCGAGTTAACCCCGAGGTAACCCCGAATTAACCCCGAGGTAACCCCGAATTAACCCCGAGGTAACCCCGAATTAACCCAGAGTTAACCCCGAGGTAACCCCGAATTAACCCCGAGTTAACCCCGAGTTAACCCCGAGGTAACCCCGAATTAACCCCGAGGTAACCCCCAGTTAACTCAGAGTTAACCCCAAGGTAACCCTGAATTAACCCCGAGTTTACCGAATTAACCCAGAGTTAACCCCGAGGTAACCCGGAATTAACCCAGAGGTAACCCCGAATTAACCCCGAGGTAACCCCGAGTTAACCCCGAGGTAACCCCGAATTAACCCCGAGGTAACCCCCAGTTAACTCAGAGTTAACCCCAAGGTAACCCTGAATTAACCCCGAGTTAACCCCGAATTAACCCAGAGTTAACCCCGAGGTAACCCCGAATTAACCCCGAGGTAACCCCGAATTAACCCCGAGTTAACCCCGAAACCCCGAGTTAACCCCGAGGTAACCCCGTGTTAACCCGAATTAACCCGAGTTAACCCCGAATTAACCCCGAGGTAACCCGAATTAACCCCGAGTTAACCCCGAATTAACCCCGAGTTAACCCCGAGTTAACCCCGAATTAACCCCGAGTTAACCCCGAATTAACCCCGAGTTAACCCGAGGTAACCCCGAATTAACCCCGAGGTAACCCCCAGTTAACCCCGAGTTAACCCCAAGGTAACCCTGAATTAACCCCGAGTTAACCCCGAATTAACCCCGAGGTAACCCCGAATTAACCCCCAGTTAACCCTGAATTAACACCGAGGTAACCCCGAATTAACCCCGAGTTAACCCCGAATTAACCCCGAGGTAACCCCGAGTTAACCCCGAGGTAACCCCGAATTAACCCCGAGTTAACCCCGAGGTAACCCCGAGTTAACCCCGAATTAACCCAGAGTTAACCCCGAATTAACCCCGAGGTAACCCCGAATTAACCCCGAGGTAACCCCGAATTAACCCAGAGTTAACCCCGAGGTAACCCCGAATTAACCCCAAGTTAACCCCGAGGTAACCCCAAATTAACCCAGAGTTAACCCCGAGGTAACCCCGAATTAACCCCAAGTTAACCCCGAGTGGCCCTCTACCTCCACTATCACTAAAATCTAATTTTTCCCCATGTCCCCTGAAGGCTCCGTAGAAAATGCTTCAGCAAAGATTCTGATTACAATTAGAAAGAGAGATCATTTTTACTTTATTTTAGCTTGGCTTTATTGGCTCCCTGTTAAATCCAGAACAGAAGTTAAGTTCCTCCTTCTCTCATGTGAAGCCCTTAATAATCAACTCCATCAGACATTGGTTCATATGTTCCTAACAGAACACTTTGCTCTCAGATTGCAGATTTACTCCTAGACTTTCGAAATGTAGAATGTGAGGCCAATCCTTTAATTCTCAGACTCTTCTGGGAACGAGTTGAGTCTGGGAACCGGTTCCCAGACTCAACTTAAGCCTTTCCTTTTCCTGTCTGTGTGGCTGGAGATTATCTGAAAACTGCTGCTTCTACCTGGTTATGGGATCCTGATCCACTCTGTCAGCTGGAAGCTGCTCTTCTGCTCCCCAACATGTGACTGGACGTATCTCCGGCACACAGTGACACTCTGCTTATTTTAGTTCTAGGTTCTCTTAGTTACCACATCTGTCACCTAGTGGGGGATCTAGAGCT